AAACAGCTGTATGTGTTTGTTCTCAGTTCCTGTGGGGGTGTATGTAAACATATAGACACTACAGGAGCCATTTAAAATATTTCCTGAGCTGCCTCTCTCCTTGTTTACTTGTATTTTAACAAAAGTTTATGGGGAAATAGCTGGAGCATTGTTTCAAAAACCTGTCTCCAATAACTTATCCACAAATGAGGCTGGGAGGCAGTATTCTCTTCCCATGTTCTCAGGCTTTATAATAAACTTATGAATTTTGCCTTTTACCCCAGACTCAAAAACTTTCCTTAACCAGAGTTACCTGATGAGGCAAGTCAGCGATCTGCAGAATCTTTACTTCTAATGATGAAATCCTGTTTCCCAGAAAAAAACAAGGGACAGCCTAGCAGCAGTCTGCATTCTGACTGGCAGAGACTGCTTTTGAACAGCCTGGGACTAACTCAATGGTATTCCAATGCTAGAAAGGGGATAGGTTTGTGCGTGTGTGTTTTGTTTTGTTTTGCTTTTTATAGAGAAGGTATCACAGAAGGTCATGGAGCAGACAGGGGTGATCCTGGAGGGCCACGGCCCAGGAAGGGGAGGCAGATCCAAGTTTGATCCCACCATGGGGGTTCTAGAATTACTCCTGGGAGGGAAGGGCCCAAGGGTCCTCTACCCAGTTCACCCTGTGACTTTAGATGGGAAAACTGAGGCTCAGAGAGAAGCAAATGGTTGCTTCCAGTCACAGGCATCAGGAAAGATCAGGAGGCCTGGAGGAGACAGCAAGAAGGGGCAAGAAGACAGGAAGAAGGGGCGAGAAGACCTTAGAGGTTGAGAGAGGCTCAAACCCCAGTGCCAGTGCCATCAGAGATGCGTCCCAGCACCAAGCTCCCACCCTCCCTATGTGCTTATGGAACAGCCCCAATGTGAGTCCATGTCCCCTCAGGGTGGAGGCCCTGAAACAGAGAGACAGACGTCCCTTCAGAGCTCCTTTCCACTTCCGCGCCAGCCTGAGCAGAGTTCACCAGAAAGAGATAGGTGCTCCTCAGCCAGGAGGGGACCCAGATGGGGACAGGGATCAGTGGGCAAGTGAAGAGCTGGGGCTGGAGTGGGATCATTGGCAATTTTTCATTTGTTTGTATATGCTTATTTCTGTATCAAACGGGTATTATTTCCACAACAAAGAAATCAAACGGCAACCCCACCCTCCGCCTCATCCTAGTTCATTGTTTATTGTGAAAAGCCTAATATCTTTAGCATGACCACACTGTTATCCAGAACTTACCCTAAACTCAGCTTTTTTACCTTTACTATTAGCCTACACATCTGAAGTGAAGTAGTCACTTTTTTCTTTTCTGACACCTTTTCATCCTTCAATGGAACATTCTTCCATCTTGTCCCCCTACCAAAATCCTCACCATCCTTTAAGGCTGTTACCTTCTTCATGATGCCTTTCCTCATTGTCCTCCTAGAAGCAAATTTCTTGTCTGTGTTACCACCATGTTTTGCGTTCAATGATCCTATGTAAATTGTCCCTAATAATACAATAACTATTCATGTATATACCTTTATCTTTCCTGGTAGACTGTAAGTGAAAATATTTTCACCTTTGTCTAATTTATAAAGCATTTTTATATCCACCAATCTTCTCTTATCCTCACAAGATTAGGGGGAAAGAGAATTAATACTTGTTTAATGGCAACTGTGCGTCAGACAGTATGAGGCTTTACATTTATCACTGCACTTAACCCTCACGGCACTCTCATAGATCCATTTCACAAGTGAAAACAAACTCACAAGGTTCATTAACTTACTGGGGTCATAAGCTAGCAAAAAGCATGGCTGAGTTTTTTTCTTTTGCTTAAATTTTGGTCTTGTTCTTTCCATTACAAAAACATAATTGTACCTCTACTAATGTTGAAGAAACCAATAAATACATGTAAGATTCCATTCATGGTTTTCTAGTACACTAGAACTGCTATATTAACACTTGAGGGTCAACTAAAGTCAGTGGACCTTAGAGCTGTAAGGGACCTTATAGACCATCTAATCCAACCCCTGAATGTTATAGATGAGAGACATGATCTTCAGAGAAATAAAATTCCCTGTGTATACATATACCTAGTTAGTAGACGAGCCAGGATTAAAACTCAAATGGAGGCATAAAGCAAAGTGGTTAAGATTATGGTCTTTGAAAAACTGTGGTACATTTACACTATGGAATACTACACAGTAGAAAGGAAGGAGTGCCTACCCTTCGCAACAGTGTGGGTGGAACTGGAGAGTATTATGCTAAGTGAAATAAGCCGGATGGCAAAAGACAAATACCACATGATCTCACTAATAAGTGGAACCTAATGAACAAAACAAACAAGCAAAAAGAACCCGACACATGGAAATAAGAAACAAAATGACAGTGACCAGAGGGGAGAATGTAGGAGGATAACAGGGGAAAGAAAAGGAAGGGTCTACTCAAGTAACACGAATAAAGGACCCATGTTCTTGGACAACAGGGTGGGAACTGACTGGGAGTGGGGGATGGGCACAGTGGGGGAGAGCAATGGGGAAAAAATTGGGATAACTGTATTTGAACAATAATTTAAAAAAAGGACTTAAAAAATGGTTATGGTCTTTGGAGTCAACATTGGCTCAAACCACAGCTCTGATACTTCATGATTGTGTGTAACCTATGATGATTTACAAACCTTACCTTTGCTACAGTTTTTTCATCTATAAAAGCAGGATGATAAAATCCTATAGTGCTGTAAGGATTAAATGTAACACTGCATAGCAGAAAGTAAGCAATGATAAAATTGTTCTGTCATTTCCAGTATTGGTCATTTCAAGTATATTTTAGTGAATTCTCTGACAATTAGGCGCTTTCTATTTCTCTACATCAAGCAGAATATTGGAATAGGTAGGTTTAATTAAGCACATTCCCTTAAAATATATCATAATCACCATCTGTCTGAAGGTTATATGAGTAGGAGAGAACAGTTTTGCTAATGACCAGTAAATAATAACAGCACTTCACAGGGCATTACAAAATTCAATTTTATGAATTTGTGCTCATTCACTAACTTTCTCTTTCTCCATACATACCCACCATGCATAAGAGTGTATGTATATAAACGTATGTGAAAAGCTGCCTAAAGATATAGCTGATAATCTGGATTTAGGGTCATCAATATGCTGATGGTCTCTAGATTGCTTATATTTGTTTGAATTAGGATAATAAAACTGCCCAAGGATCAATACAAAGAAGAAACTGAATTGTCCATGTCATACTTTATGGTAATTCCTAAAATCCCTAATACATTCCTTAATCCTTAACACATTAATATAGGAACTAATTCCTTAACACAAGAATGTGACACATTATCTATCCAATTTTATGTGAGAGTGAAAATGATTCTGTTAGAGTTATTATGAGCATGGCAAAGAAGCCGAAGTGTGGTGTCAGGTAGACTGGGTTCAAATCTCAATTTCCACTTAATTGAATAATTTGTGGGAACATCTTTGAGTGTCAGTCACACATCTTTCAGTCTCAATCTAAAACATTTGCAAAGTAGGGATAATATGATTTTTCTTGTAGAAATGTAGTAAGTTTAAATAAAATAATGAATGTAAAGTGCCAGGCCAGATAATAGCTACTTGTGGTTAGTATCAGTGGCTGGCTATATTAATTTAAAAGGAGGTACCACAAATCAAGAGTAATGATTTTTTAAAAATCAGTGCCTACGTAAAAACTAGCTGCTATATAGAAACACATAACCTCCCTTAAATTATTACAATCCTTTCAACTGGAGAAATAAAAGGAAAGACATAAGATTCAATAAAAATGGCAAAACTGGGATTAAAGGAAGTTATAAAAATGTGTTCAATTATTAACCAACATGGTGCGGTACTTTCAAAAGGTAAAAAGGCACTTGCTGATGCATCAGAGGCCTTGAATTGAACATATTTATTGAATTTTTCTTTATGGTAGAGTTATCCCTAGAACTTGTTTTACAGCTGGACGTTTTGAAAGAAAAAAAATCAATCATCTGGCTTTCCTGGAGAGAGAGAGAAAGAGAGAGAGGGAGAGAAAGATATTATTTAAATATAATGTGGTGAGTGAATGAAAACTACTTACCTGAAGAAGCTGCATTACTCAATAAAGAGTCTGCAAGGTTTACTACATCACGTTTTGGGGGGACTTTTGTTTGTTTGTTTTTAATCTTCAGCTGAATGAGCATCTTGCCTCACATTATTCTTTTGCTGGAAGCAATTTCTCATTACAACTATACTGGCTAACCTCAGGCCTCCAACCAAAATTCTCCAGTATCCTTAGTTATCCAGGAAGCCTGGAGCAGTGAGCCAGCACTCCTTTCAAGAAGCCGCACCCACCTCCCGATCAGTGGTGTTTCCAAAAGGTGAAACATGCATCTAAAGCCCACGCTTGAAATTTTAAGCTTGTTCTCTATCTCATTAGCTCATAGCAACCGGAAAAATAAAGATCATTCTCACTCAATTCAAGCAGCAGCGGGAACGTTGAATTAATTCTAAAACAGGCACGAACCCGCCCTCCCCCCACATCCCACTTCCATAATGTTTGTAAAAGGTGTCTCCTTCTTAGGCACTGAAATCCCAAGGCAATGGAAAGACTACTCAGGAAAAAGGATGGTAAAGCAGTTTTCGAAAATCGAGAATGACAAGCCGTGCCAAAGGGAGTAAGAGCACTTTTTGATTATTGGTAGAGACTCGGTACTAAACCGTGTTAGGGTACCGGTGCCTCCGGCCTTGCCCAGCAGGGACACTTGGAGACGGGAGGTCAATTTCCAACTTGGAGATAGATACTGAGAGTGAAAAAGATGGTAAGCCGAGATCTCAGGGCCTTCTCTAGCAGCACAGAAGGCTAAGCGCCACAGGGATGCATGGGGACTCCTAGTTGAACCCTCTCCCGCTCACTTCTAGGTCCAGAAAAGAAGGTGCACGGCGTTCTGACCGGAAATACCAGGCTCAAGAGGCAACTCATAAAAATCACTTACCGTATTTCACCTCCTGCGCTGATCTAGCAGGAGGCTGGGCCAGCCCACCAGAATCTAGCGCGGCGCCCTCTCAGACCACCTGACGACGGCTGGATAGCGTCACTGACAACCACCCGGAAGTGATACAACTGCTTCCGGGGCCATGGGCGCGCGGCGGGAAATTATTTCCCAGATCCCGGATTAGCGAAGCAGCGAGTGCTGCAGCGCCAGTCGTCTTCCCTGTCACCACCGCCACCAGAAGGAAGCAAGACACTCCGGCCTGGAAGGTAAAGGGCCTCAGCTCGGAAGACACAGTGTACTCTGACTCTGTGGGGATGTTCCCTCCGTTCCCTCGAAGTTTCTGCCACTCCCGGCTGTGAGGCTGGGAAAGGGCTGGGGTGAGCAGCTGCGGCGCTGCCTCTTGCGCTTTCTGCAGCCGTCTTTCCTTCTCAGTCGCCCGAGGATGAGGCTCCCGCGCGTAGGTGGGCTGCAGTCGCAGACCCCGCCCCGCTCCGCCCGCGCTGCGGAGGGGATGGCCACCGACCCCCTCTCTGCAGAGCTAGGCTGAGCAGCTTCCCCGCCTCCTGTTTGCGCTGCTCCACAGCTCAGTCCCCTGCCAGCCGGGCGCTAGGCCTCCGCGTCTCTCGTTTCCATAGAACCGACTGGGAGGCTTCAAAATGAGTCCCAGATTCTTGGCTGCTTTCCATAATTTCGCGTCACTGCAGGTGGCTGGGATCCCCCAGGCCCACCTCCCTGTGACTAGGAAAATGGTGCCATTCTTTTCTTCATAGTAGAATTTTTAAACGTATTGAAATAGTAGTGAGCATTATCTCTGCTGCTACTGTAGGCCTTTAAACATAACACACATATACACACACGTTCCCCTAAATGGGGGAGGGTCTGTGTTCCCTAGGATTATAATGTTTTAGCTCTTGTAGGCTGGGAACAAGACTTAATGGTATTTCTGAGATTTCTTCCGTTTCCGAAGCCTCTGATGAAATGCTGAGAAAAACTTGGCCTTCCGCGCGTACTCCATATCGGAACTTGACGCAGAAATAAGAGCTTGATTTTGGAAGCTCCAAGCGCGTTCGCTTGCTCGCTCTCTCCCTCTTTAAACAAATGACTATTCTACACCAACAAAAGGAAAAAGAAAAAAAAGAAAAATTTTTACTGTTGACACTTTAGGAATGAAAATTTAAACAGTGTTTACAGTGTACATGTGACACACTGCACCTTGTGGACTTTTTCGTTTGTTATTACGTCATCCTCAATTCCTAGAAGTGTCTTTTGATGTGCAAGAAGTTCCCATTTTAGGAAAGCTTGACTAACCTGTATTGCAGGTTTCCAGTACAAGGTAGTTTGGGTGGATTTTTATAAGGGAATTAATTTGCCCTAAATTAACTCAAAGTTAATTTAAATGAACTAAGATGTTCAAATACTTAAATGTATAAATTTTCATTTTAAAGACAGTCTTCAATAATGCAAATAAGCCCCTATTAGATCTGTTTTCTAAATCCACATTCTGTTTTGCCTTATCGACTTAAGTTCAATTGTATGATTGAATATTTTTCTACTTCCCTAAAGTGAAAAGCATAAGCCATGTGAAGGAGTCTTTGAGAAGGTGGTCAAATGTGGGTACTTTTCATAATCAAAATTCAGAACTCTTAGTATTTCATAATAGGTATCTACAATTTCCACTAATTTCTAAAAACATTGGTTTTAGACGAGTAATATGACTATTAGACAGTATTTTCTTGATTATTCTAAGATAGTCTTAACTATTTAAAGAAAAGATTTTAAAAATAAAATCAACAATTCCATATAGATTCTGAATAATGAAACCTAAAGATAGTGAACTGTCTTTCTCAAAAATATAACTAAAATGGAATATTATCTGTTACTTTTGTAACTGACTCCTTAAATATGTTAATAGGAAATACATGCTGTAAAATACACTATGTACCGTTTCTTACCTTTAAGGACATCTTCCTGCCTAAAAGTAAAATATTTCTAAAACTTTTAGGTTTACATAATTTTTACGTGCTTTATATCAAAATTATTTGAAATAAAAATCCACTTTTTTTAAATGTAGCATTTGTTATTTCATTATTAAATAATAGTTTTAAAAATATTTTTTATGAAGATGAAAATCCCATATATATTAGTGATTAATACCAAATCCATTTTGAGAGGAAAATAATGAAAATTGTCTTTTTTTAATAAGGAAAAAAATGCCACTCTTTTGATTGTTGCTAGAAATGCTTTGAAAGTTTAGACATTAGTGTTGTTTTTCTGAAATTAATTTATAATTGTTTAAATATTTTCAGTGATATTGCTGATCTAAATGTCTCCCCACCCTCATAGTAGATTTCTTTCTGTGCAATGTTTTTTTTTTCTCTAGCTGAGAATAGATTGCTTTGTAAAATTATATTGTTTCAAAATATTAGATGAAATTCTGTTACTTAATTCAGAATTGTATTGCAGAAGAGATGTATAGTTTTTGCACCATTTTAGATTTTTGAATATTGGTTTCTCCATTTACTATTTGTGTAGCCTTGAGCTAGTTTCTTTATCTCTCAGATTCTCCGGTATCCTTAACTTGTGTATGAAGGGTAAACAGCACTTAAATTGTTGAGAAGGAAATTAACTAAATATATCAAGTATATAGACTGCAGTAGGTCCTCAGTTAAAATCTGGCTTGTTCAGCTTTATACTGTATGCTTCTGCTAAGTAATACAAAGTCCCTAGGATACTGAAGCAGGTGCGACTTTCATCGCCATAGCTAACCAATACCTACTGTCCATTCATTCTTTTTTCCCTGAATATCATACCTCCTTAGGGAGAAAAAGCCCCTTTATCACTAAAGCTAGCATTTCCAATCCAGCCTGTTCTTTGTACAGTACTGGATTTAATGGCTATCTCCATATATCTGCTTATCTTATCTTTTCTTCCTCACTATAGTCACTTGGCTGCTGCTTCTCCACTTCCTTCATGTACAGCCAAACTTACTATCTAAGACTGATCATGACTGCTTCTTTCCCAAATAATGTCATTGAAGTAAGAACATCTCCTAAGTCTCTCCACTGGAGACCTCAATAAAATAATTAATTTATGTTTGTACACACACACGCACACACTCCATATTTTTGAAGGATGGGGCAGGAAACAGACTCTACATCTCTTAAAAAAAAAAAAAGGAAAATTCCAAAGGCCAACTGAATGAAATTAAGACAAAGTCCTGATTTGACTCCTCGACCAAGAGGTTACAGAATTCCTAAACTCCACTTGACATTATAGCATTCAAAGCCAAGTGGATTTTACTCACACAGTATGAGTACTGTGATTTATGTCTCTTTCTGCAGTATTAGTTAAAACAGTGATTAAACACTTTAAGTGACCCTTTTTAGTTTTAGCACTTTCTTACTTTCCCAGTTAAATTTCTTAGGTAACACAAATCATGAAAATCTTTCAAACTTGTATTTAGAACAACAATATTGGTCGTATTCGAGGCATGGTATATTCTTTCCAAGAGAGGGTATTAAAGGTATTTTCCTTAGGTTTAAAATAAAAAAAGAAGTAGGTTCAAAAATTAAAATAGTTGACTTGAATAACAAACATTAAGAAGCCACTGATTTGCCCTAAAACTTGAGAGCATTAAAACTATGAAGAATATTCAGTGGCATGGAAAAATGATCACAATATAATTTTATATAAAAACTAAAATAGAGAACTATATGATATTTAAATTTTGTGATATACATATTCATACACATTCATAACACGTTAAAGTCAAACTCCTTTCTGCATCCCCATATACTAACAGTGGTATTACAGGGCAAAGGAATTAGAGATGATTTTAATCATTATACTTTGTAGTATTTTTCAAATTTTCTAAAATAAACATGTTTAATTAAGATAAAGACAAATCAGTAAAACTTATGTTGAAGAAAATTTTTAGTTTTTAAGTGCAAATATAAACTTTATAAACTTTTTAATAAATCCCTTAGTTAATAGCATACAACTTATAAGATACATTATATTCTCAAAGTTGTATAATACCCTATGGCTGGTGATAAAAGAAATTTTAATGCAGAGGAGGAAAAGTTTCTCCTTATTTTCTTACCACAGGCCTCTTTAAAGCATCTCTTTAACCCCTCTTTTTTTTTGTAGCGTTTTCCTGTTAAACCCAACTGTTACACCCTGCATTTTCATTCTCCCTCATGTATTCATATTCCTGTCTCTTCTTTTCTCTGAGTTTTCTTTTCAACATATTATGGCGATGTGTCATTTTTTTAAGTGCGTTCTAGCTATGTGTCATAAAGAATTCATAGGACCTAAAAAGCAAGTGCATAATGTTCTTAATTATGATGAATACTATAGGTTTATTTGCATTTCTGACTGGCACCAACTGCAAAGGAATCTTAGGCATCAAGGATAGGCCCATGTGGGAGATATTTTGGGAAAGTCCACACCACAGAGACAGTTGCTTGCTCTGCATAAATGTCAGCCCTGTTCACAATCACTATCTCCTCAGTTGTGTGTGTATTAAATGATACAAGGTAAGTGACTATATTTTTTTAAATTACTACAATATTTTAAAAAATTACCACAAAAGCATTTTCTTGTAATTAAAAATCTAGTATAAATTTTTTAATTTTTTGATCGTAAAAATAACATTAAACTGTTAAGTAAATGCTTTTATTTTTTTACACCCCCTGCCTTTGTTGTGTTAGGATAGTATCTTCTGTGTGAATGCTTGAAGGACCCACCTCTTTAAGTTCTAGAAAAATATATAATTTCCGTAGAAATACCACTGGTACAATCACATTGCAGTATATTTACTTTCATCTTGTGTTGAAAGACTTCTGGGAGTTACCTCTTGATCCTCCATACCCCAGAACAAATGACCTATATAAAACTTGACCCCACTTTTAAGGACTTTAAATTGTCTGGGTCATTGATAGGTATTACACCAGTTGCTTATAGTGTTCTGTTTGGGTTCATTGGCATATTAGGCTATTGTTTATTGTTTTCTTAATCCTGCAGGGTCATAGGAAAAAAACATTAAACCACTACTTTTATAAATATGAATAAATC